TATAAAGAGATTACAAAAAGGAGTTTTTTCAAAGTTCATTGACCTCATGATAGAAACAGCTAGCGTGATTTCTTTCTTTGGCTTTCTCCTGTAACTGTAACAGTTATCAAATCCGAACAATTTGAACATGCAATTAATTTATGTATATCAGACATTTCATTCACAAACAATGTTGGTATCCTTCACTTGAAACAGTCAAAAACTGATCCATTTCGTAAGGGTATAGATATTCAGTTACACAAAAGTAATAGTCATACTTGTCCTAATCGTGTTTTAAAAAGATATTTAGAGTTCAGGAAAACGTGTATATCGCCTTATCAAAACACTGACCCTCTTTTTGTATCAATTGGCAATTTAGCCATGGAAAGAGAATTCTTTATAACAAAAATCAGACATGTTCTAGAGTTATGCGATTATGATTCTAAAAACTTTTCAGGTCATTCATTTAGAATGGGTGCTGGGACCGCAGCTGGTCAAGCTAACATAGAGGATCACATGATTAAAACGTTAGGTCGTTGGTCTTCAGATTGCTATGTGCGTTATTTTCGCACTCAACCAACCTCTATAAAACATGCACAACAGCAGCTTGCGGTATCTGTTTATCGTTGATTATATTATAGTCAATTTAGAATTTATGGACAGGAGAACTGCATGGTTGCTTTATATGTATATTTTGTTTCTTTTGTTTACCTTATTATTGTGTTATTCGTTGACTTATTGAAGGTGATCCCGGGGGATTCCTCATTCTAAATACTTGGGGGTCACTCAGACCCATCTGATTTCTAATCACTATTTCGTCAGAGTTTCTTGGCACCTTTTCAAATATTTCAGTTATCATTCATAATTTTCATTCATTTTCCAAACATTTTTCATTTAACATCTCCAACCTCAACTCAACACCTTAAAACATTGAAGCCCACCGTCACGCGGGGGCTGGTCCACTGCCACGCATGGGCCGTCAGATGAAGCTTCGCTTTGTCATTCTTTTGTCAATTGTGTTGTTCAAGTTGAGCGTAGTGGCTTGACAGCTGGTGTACTTTCCACGAAAGAATCGCTTCCTGCCAAAGTCCTGGAGCAAAATTATTCTTCAGATAGTTGAGTGATTTCCCAAGGCCAAATAATTTAATATGTTTTATATATTTAGTAAAGGAAATACATTTTCATTTTGTTTAGTGTAAAATTCATAATAAATATATTACATTTACACCGTATTTGTTTAGTATCAATGGTTCCGTGAACAAAATTTATTATTGAATCTACAGTCTGCTGACACTACACTAAGATAACATTCACCAGAAAGGACCCTTTAACAAGTTTGACCTCAAGATTTGTAACAGATGTTAAAGTTTAAAACAGTGACGCTAATGAGCATATCGACACACAATAATTTCACAGTTTGATGTCCTTCGAAGATTATTACACGTGTATAGCAAACTGCATAACATGACTTATGGTATAATCGTCATTGAAACCAGCATCACAGTTTAAATACAACCTTTCAATATGCTATCATTATATTAAATTTTACATGATTTCACTTCGACTGTTGAACTACAATTAGATAAACAAGATTACCATGTGGAAATTTTCAGATCAAAAGTTATCGATTGATTAATTGGATTGGATGCTTACATGGTTGGTTGGTTGTTGGTATAGTTCCAGTGGCAAATATTTCATGCATATACACGACGGGAAAAACATAAAATATATTTTGAAACAGAATTTCGACTACACACACAGGAAAAACGAGTATATAAAACTCAATTGAAATCTACGAAAACATTGACAAGCATTGTCCTTGTACAATGAGTGTTGTAAAATTTCAAATTATCGGCAAACAATAAGTGTCTGCATGGCAGATGTTGAAATTGCTTACACGCCACAACTTAGCATTTATGAGGGTCTGGATGGGGTTTACAGAATAGAGAATAATGGACAAAACGTGCAGAATAAAGGGCAAAAAATATAAAGAATAGAGAAAAATAGGCAAAAAATTTTATAAAGAATAGAGAATAATGGGGTGCGAAAGTAAAAAGAATAGAGAATATCAGGAAGATTTTATAAAAAATAGAGAAAATGGCTTACAAATTTAAAGAATACAGAATTGAGGACCCCCAATCCAGACCCTTATTTATTTATCCAGCAGTAGAATAAATATAAAATCATTCCTTTGCAAGATGCCAAGAAAACTTTGACGAAAATATACTTGTACAATGAGTGATGTAAAAAAAATCAAACAATTGGCAAACAGGAAGTGTCTGCACGGCAGATGTAAAAATTGCTTACACGCTACAACTCAATATTATCAAGTTGTACACCCAATAAGAAATTTTCCCTTGCATTTGGAAGCAAAGAAAACTTAACGAACGTTTTCTACCCAAGGTCATTTGGAAGGACGGAATATAATAAAAAGTCTGTTTAATTTCATTAAAATCCGATTATTCTGTTAATATTCAATTTAAGTTGAATGACCTCTCACCAAAAAGGTAGTATTTGATGTAAGGAGGGACATTGAATATGGAATGTACAAATGTTACAGTAGGCGTAACTCTAGTTTTGAAATTAATTGATTTTTAAAAACTGTAATAAACAAAACACTAAAGGCATTACTCAACGATTTCATGATTTTTATCCATACTCACAATTTAGGAAAGTTATACAATTCCTGCCATTTCATCTACTATTATATCATCTAACGCCTTAAACACAATTTATTTTAAATTTCCCAAAACATATTTAAAAGTAAAATAAAAACTAGAGGCTCTAAAGAGCCTGTGTCGCTCACCTTGGTCTATGTGCATATCAAACAAAGGACACTCTCCAACATTGTAGACGAGAATAGACTACTATTTTGTTGATCTTGTATTACTGATCTTTTAGTCTGTTTAGTTTCTCTCTATCTTCTTTAGTTTTTGCTCAAAACACAAAAGAGGGTAAAAAAATCCTCGTTTAAGGGCAATCACTCCTATGAAGAGTGACAGTCTATTAACTATATCGGCAAGATTTGACTTTTTAATAGATCTTGTCTTGCTGATCATTTTTGTGATTTAAAGTGTTTATTTATCTATTATAATTTAAATCATATAAGGCATAATGAAAAAAAAAAGTTTTTCTCTAAATATCATACAGAAGTTTTCATGATAAAAGGCAAAAATGAAAAAAATGGTAAATTTGTCATTTATGGCCAATAACTCCTATAAGAATTTGTCTAACAATTTTGACGTATATGGACAATTGGTAGAGCTCATTATTTTGAAAATTTTTGCTCCTTTCAGATTTTCTCTATTTATAACGGTTCATAAAACAATAGACAAAACTTGCATTTTACCCCTATGTTCTATTTTTAGCCATGTCGGCCATGTTGGTTGGTAGGCGGGATCATCTGACACATTTTGATTGATCTAAACCTGATGAACATTTTTATTCCTGTCAGATTGATCTTAACCTGATGAACATTTTTATTCCTGTCAGATTGCTCTTAATGGTTTAGTTTCAGAGATATAAGCCAAAAAATGCATTTTACCCCTATGTTCTATTTTTTGCCATGTCGGCCATGTTGGTTGGCAGGCAGAGTCATGGGACACATTTTTCAAACTAGATACCCTAATGATGATTGTGGCCAAGTTTGGTTGAATTTGTCTCAGCAGTTTCAGAGGAGAAGATTTTTGTTAAAGATTACAAAATTTTACAAAACATTGTTAAAAATTGACTATAAAGGGCAATTACTCCTTGAGGGGTCAATTGACCATTTTGGTAATGTTGGCTTATTTGTAGATTTTACTTTGCTGAACATTATTGCTGTTTACAGTTTATCTCTATCTATAATAATATTCAGATAACCAAAAACTTCAAAATGTCCTTAAAATTACAATACCAATACAGGGGCAGCAATCCAACAACGGGTAGTCTGATTTGTCTGAAAATTTCAGGGCAGATAGATCTTGACCTGATGAACAATTTCATCCCTGTCAGATTTGCTCTTTAGTTTCAGAGATATAAGCCAAAATCTACATTTTACCCCTTTGTTCTATTTTTAGTCATGGCGGCCATCTTGGTTGGCGGGCCAGGTCGTCGGACAAATTTTTCAAACTAGATAACTCAATGATGAGTGTGGCAATGTTTGGTTAACTTTGGCCTAGTAGTTTCAGAGGAGAAGATTTTTGTAAAAGTTAATGGACGACGGAGACGGACGACGACGACGGACGACGGACGCCAAGTGATGAGAAAAGCTCACTTGGCCCTTTCGGCCAGATGAGCTAAAAATACAGAAATCCAAGGAAAATTCAAAACGGAAAGTCCCTTAACAAATGGCAAAATCAAAGGCTCAAACACATCAAACGAATGAAGAACAACTGTGACAGTCATATTCCTGACTTAGTACAGGCATTTCCTTATGTAGAAAATGGTGGATTTAATCTAGTTGTATAGCTAGCTAAACCTCTCAGGTAAACATGTAAAAAAATGGGGTACAGCAGTCAACATTATGTTATAATCTTAATTACAATAAAAACAAACAACTATGTCAACAAAGAAAAACAAAATGACATGTAGACACTCTATAGACAAAGCATATAAGCAAAAAGAAAAGACAAAAATACAAAAAAAATGACCATAGCACAATAACGCAATGGCGGGATATATAAATACCGAGCCTCGCCAAAAGGATATTACCAAAAATGGACTGAACAGTAAAGGTTATAAATATATAAAGAAAAAGAAAAAAAGAACACTTTAAAACGTAATAAAGACGATAAACAACGTCAGTACCTAGAATATATACCTCAAGACCATCATTTTTATTTGTGAAGTTGATACGGAAAACTATCAACAATGATTTTGTTGCTTCCGAAGAACTTTTTTTTAGAAAAAGGACGAGACGTTCTTTGACATAACCCTGGTTCGTCAACTTTCTGCCCAGACACCGGTGACGTTTTACAAAGTCTGAGTAGCAGATGCAAGCTCTTGAATGTCATATGTCGTAAATGTAAGATAAATTAACATTGTATTTAAATTGTTTTTATTTATTTTCCAATTTCATCCCCAAATTCTAATTTTAGTACGATTGTTATCTGGATCTGTAAGACCAACAAGTAAATCACATTTATTCCCATAATTTGAGAAGCAGTTGAATGTTCTTTGATGATTGAGGGAAATATGTGTATTTATTCCATAATGCACAACACCGTGAATCTTTGCAAGTAAAATACCAAATAAATAAAAGTCATCCACCCAGAAAAATGGCGATATTAATGCAGCTTTGTATAACAAAGGAATAAGGTCGATTGAAATGAACACGGCCAATCCACTACATGAGGTGTATGGATAAAATTCCAATCTTTTGAATTTATCTCTGTGTACATACCATGTATCGTTGATTCCACGTTGTATTGGATTTGTATCTGCTTCCAATCTATTACAAGCCAAAAACCTGTTCACATCTTTTATAAATTTTAAGCTTCCAAATATTTTATTGAAATTCATAAATACGTCATCGTCTATTTTGGCGACAAATTCTGCGTTTTTGCAATGTTCTGTAATCCATTTAAGACCCATGACTCCTTTATTAGTTAAGTTATGGTAAGTGTCCATAAAATATCCCTGGACAATATCTTGATGTACTAAGCTTTCGTATTCAATCATAGTCTGAAGTGTTGAATTATGTGTCAGTCCCAATAAGAAAACGACACGGATAATATTTGGACTGTAATAAGTTGAGTTAAAAGTTTTTCGTAAATTGTACTTTCTTTCAAAATGGTTGAGGGATGTATGAACCATCACAATACATGTTATCTTTGGAACATGTCGGCAGATACCTTCATTGTTTATTTTATACGGTTGTGATAGTACTATCGGATATGACGTTTTTATAAGAATTTTACGTGTATAAGCCGTCTGTGTGGCTTTGGATTTGTTGATGGTTCGTTCTGTCAAAGCCAATAGTGTTCTGTCTTTTATAGTTTCACTGCAGCTTTGGTTTGCTTGGGTATTCATCAATGTCAGTAGAAAACCAGTTATACACACCATATTAACACCAAGCATTATTGTTTTATGCTTCAAGTATTTTAACATCCCAGCTTAATTAGGTAATAAAGTAATACGTAGTTTCCACAACCCAGTTATTACGATCTATAATTTACATATCTAGATCTGGAAAACAAGTAAAAGTAAAATTATATTGATATTTTAATAAAATTTGTCAAAAAACATGTATATCACTGCAGTGGCTAGCTTGCCTTCTGTTATTACCGAGGCCGGGGGTCTGGGGGGCTGCGCCCCAGAAGCTATCGAGGTTTTTACAATTGGAACAAGAAGAATCTATTAAAAATAATAGCTGTTGTTTCATTTTATCCGGCTCATCATAATAATGTTGATAAGCCTTACACTAAGTTAAACTACCCGGTGATTTATTAGTTGATTGCTGGTACCTGCATCATTTTCAATGTTCAGATGAATACATAAATCTTCTCAAAAGCATTTACCACTTTTTCAAATCGAATCCTGTCAGTGAACTTTCCAGATTTGTCAAGTTTTAAATTGTCCTGAGTCTATATAAAGTTGTGTATGATTTAAACCGATACTATATAATCTGCAGTAAACTCAAAGTAAACAAAAATAACAAAACACTTGAAGAAACCTGTACAGAATTTTCAATGCAGAAAAACAAACGCAACGATTAAGGTGGCTGGGGTATCTTCTTCCATCTTGGATATTGAAGTAGCAGATAACAATTGGTCTAGATCTTTAATGAAATGTGCAAATTTTGAGAGTAGTATGTAACTCATGTGTAAGCCTTTTCATGTTAATACAGAAAAGTATGTGTTTTATCATATTTACGACTGTATTTTCTGATAAAAAAACACAATATTTTTGTTTGATTATTTTTTTTTTCAACATTGCCACATAAGGGGAGATAACTCAGATAGGAGGAGAGATAACTAAGATAAAGCAATTTTCATAATAGAATGTGTTGTGAATTTTTTTATTTTAATATTTAGCAAGAAAACAAGTTCGGTGACCCCATTTTTTCTTTTTGTTATCTGAAAGCATGTTATAAGATCTAGAGCTATCTTCTCACATTTTATCTTAAAATTCTATGGTGTAGTTTTCTTTTTATCACACAAAATTGGATTTTCCATGCATAATCTATTCAAAATCTTACAATTTTGCACAACCTGTAGCGTGAAAAAAAGTCCGGTGACCCATACTTTTTATTATATTTTGGAAAGAAGCATGATAAAAACTACGTTTTGACAAATTATTGAAAAATTCTATGGATTTTAATTAAGACCCACCATCCACCTTAAGGTTTATTTAAAATATTTTTAGTGATGATCATTTACTCGCTTGATCGTAAGTCACGGATCAACGCTATAAAGTCATCACAAAACGACGGACGGATTGAACAGCAGAACTTCTTGATAAACTAGGAAATAAACACATGCTACATGTAAAGTGCACCACGGCACTTGTGTTGGTTGTGTTTCGTTCTGGTATTTCTTGGAAGGTCATTGTGAAAATGACAACCGGCGAAGTACTAACATTTACGTTATTCTGGAGTCTTCATGATAAATGAAAACAGTATTTGTTTGAAATTTTCATATATAAACTGACATTATGTATGAACTAACAGACATATAATAAATATTTCTGTGCAATTAAAGACTCCTTTAAATATTTAAAAGTCCTTGCTAGTGAAAAACTATGAACTTAAAATAGCGAGAATAAAACATGAGAGCCGCAACATATAAATTATTTTCTGTGCACGTTGATTGATGTATATTTTTTATTGGTACCAAAGTCAATGAAACTCTGTGTATTTCAAGTACTACACGTGGGGAAAAATGTCAACACACAATGATGTTTCAATTTTAGACGTTACCTATGGAACGCCATAGCTGTCTTATGTGTCTTTTTTATTACTTTTCTATTATACGAAGGTGCTTTTCTATTACACGATGGTGCTTTTCTATTATACGATGGTGCTTTTGTATTATACGAAGGTGCTTTTCTATTATACGATGGTGCTTTTTTATTATAATAAGGTGCTTTTTTATTATGTGATGGTGGTTCCCGTGATTAACCGGAAGCGTGGCGTGTATTTGAATCTCACCGAACCAACATGGCGGCCATGGCTGTGAACACTAAAATGTTAAACGTTTTACATAAATTAAACTTGCAGCAAGCATTTCCAAACTTTGAGAGAGAGAAAATCACTCCAGACATTGTATGTAGGCTTTCGACACATGAAATGGAAATATTAGGTGTAACTAGAAGGGCAGATATGATGAAGTTAAGAACTGAATGTGTAAAATATGGAACCGTTCGTCTGCCCCTAATAAAATAAACTCTGAATGCGGCCCTTCGAAATTTGATATTACAAAGTCTGTTCTAAAAAATGTTCTGGAAAATGGATTTAAAATATCCGACATTTCTAAATTGTTGTCCGTGTCTGAAAGCACCATTTACCGAAGAATGTCACAGTTCGGATTAAGCAAAATGAATTTTACACAAATTGATGATAGTGATTTAGACTTGACACTTGGACAAATAATAAAAGAGTTTCCATTATGTGGCGAAACACTATTGCAAAAGATGCTTCTATTAAAAGGCATAAGAGTACAGAGATGGAGACTGAGGGAGTGTATGCATCGATTAGATACCGCCGGAGTACAGGCAAGACGTACTGGTAGGCTTCATAGGTGTGTTTACAATGTAATGGGTCCAAATCACCTCTGGCACAAAGATACAAACCATAAACTTGTCCGGTGGAGATTTGTTATTGTAGGTGGCATTGACGGGTTTAGTCGATTGATAACATTTTTAAAATGTACCGACAACAACACATCAAGAACAGTTTTGGATTGTTTCTTCTCCGGTGTTGCAAAGTATGGGATACCCGATAAAGTTAGGTCTGACAAAGGATTGGAAAATGTTTCTGTGGCAAACTACAAGTTGATTCAAAAAGGCCCAAACAGTATGGTAACGGGAAAAAGCACTCATAATCAACGGATTGAGAGACTATGGAGAGATGTGTATGAAGGTGTGCTTAGTTACTTTTACAACTTATTTTATTTCATGGAAGATGAAGGTTATCTAGACCCACTAAAACTGACAAACTTAGCTGCTCTCCACTTTGTTTTCATGGACGAAATAAACAGGAAGCTGCAATTTTGGGCAGAGGTATGGGCTGGTCATAGACTACGCACTGTTAATTCATCTCCATTGAGCTTGTGGACTTCATGTCAACTTCAAAATGCCGTAGGAATTACCGAAGGAGAAGCAAATTTGCAAGATTATGGAATTGAAGGCTATGTGGATCAAAATGATGTAGAAGAGGACGAGAGACCAATATTTGGACCCCTTGCACACATGATAAGTGATCAATGCAGGCTGGATTTAACTCGACAATTGATAAAAAGCAATACTAACTTTGGAATAGATTTTTATCTTGAATGTTTGGAAGTCATTGAAAGAAATAACTAAACTGGTTATTAAAACTTATTTGTAATTTACTAAGTTGCCGTCATATCTTCAACGTAAATGGATAACTGCATAACTTCTTTATATACTTAATCTTATAAAACCCCATGACTTTTCAACAACTTCAAGCTTTAAAGTGGTATATTGGTTATATGTAACTGTATCATTTTGTGTAGAGGTAGTACATGTACAATGTACAGATCCATATATCCTCTAACTATTTTAGTATTTATTATAAACAATTTTTCTAACTTATATGGACGCTGAGTAGGCAATTGTATTGTGCAAGTCTTTTTGCTGCGCGTCTTTCGAATCTTGATAGGAAGTCGAGTAGATTGAGGGGCAAGGTTAGTGTACCCATAAACATGGTTCAACCCCACCACTCTGCCAAGTTTTGCCAGAGTGCCTGTACCAAGTCGGGACTTCTCTCTGACTACCTTCTGTACATTTTCCTTTTTGTGTTGTCGCTGTATGTCTCTATTTTGATGGCTTGATTGGTGGTGTTGGTGCTGTTTGATGTTTTATATCGAATTATTGCCATTCCCTGTTTTTTCTTTATTTTTTATATATAAAGGTTGGCTACATGGTTCAGCTAAATGAAATTATTCGGTAATGCTTTAAATGAAAACTTATGTAACTGTGACTTTTACATGCATTAAAAGAATTTGGCCGATAATGAACAAATATTTAAATGTTTGTGTTTGAACTGAAAATCATTAATTGTGTCCTGAATATTAAGTCATTGGTCTTACAATTTGCCAAATTAAAAAGTACTTCAACCAGAGACATATAATACTAGAGATAAGCAACTTTGTGAAATCTCGAGAAATATCGCAGCCACATGCTTTTATAAGAATATAACATGTATAAGAGTCATATATAAAGAAAGAAAGTAGTTAAGTTTTCAGAAATATTCCTTAACTTTTCAATAAATATACCGATCACAGAAGTTGTAAAAGAAGAATCAAAAATCAACACATGCCCCTCAATACTTTGTTATTTAGTAAGTTTCAAAATATTGTCATGATAATATGAAAACTTCATTTTGTCATAAAATGTTCCAGACCGAAACCTCTTCAATTTTCTATTGTATAATATTCAGAGTTTCCAATCTCTTGTTTTATATGTCTCTACTTCAACTAACTGTAATCGGTTCGGTTTAGACAGGTTTTACTGTGTCACAAGTATTGCGGGAGTACACAAGTCCATTGATTTTAAAAAAAATGTTTCGGCAAGCTTTAGCGAACATGTACTTTTCGAAACTGTCCGAGGTACTAGTTTGTAGCTGAATGTACTTATTTTTACTATTAGAATTTGGTTAAAAGCATTTTTGATTTAATGAAATCAATGCTAATATTTGCGAAAATGCTTTCCAGTGATTAAATTTGGCTATATAGGAGAATCACCTATCTTGAACTTGAGCTAAATTTCATTTCAAGGCATCTTCTACCGTTCTCCCTCTAAGAACAATCTCCAACTTGTGTGGTGATGCTCATCTATAACGCAGAGGTGTTTATCTAAAGTTAGTCTATCAGTAATATTTGAATGTTCTCAGCTGTTTTTAGTAGTATCACTGTTGAGGACCAAATGCGAGAAATTTTCTAAGAGGGTCTGGAGGGCATGTCCCCCCCCCCCCAGATACCTTTTTAAAACTTAGAGTAATGGTA